ATTTTTAACCCCAGTTAAAATGAGTACAAAACGAAAGAGCTATTCCGTCGAGTACAAAAAGGGAATCGTGGAAGACTCCAGGGGTGTAAATCTTGTAGTATTTTGTGAAGAGAAGATGCTGGATCTCCGTATGGTACGTAAATGGCGTGCAGACTGCGATTACCTATGTCAACTGGTGGACCAAGGAAATGAGAAAAAACGCAGAGTTGAATCAGGTCGGCAGTCGTTATTTTCTGAGTTGGAAGATTGCATCTGGGAATGGACTGCAGGCAGGAGAACAATGGCTTTGGTTGTGCGCAGGGCTGATATTCAAAAATTTGCATTTGAAACAGCAATTGAATTTGATATATCCACAGAAGAATTTAAAGCATCGTGGACAACTTCCTTAAACGATATGTACTGTCTCTAAGGAGATCAACAACATTGTTTAACCTGGAAGACAATGAAGTTGTTAAGCGTGCATTTGCGTTTAAGCTTTTTGTTGATGGCATCGATTTTTCGAAATATCAACTCTCCAACATGAGTGCTATGGATGAGACCGCGGTATTCCTAGGCCAAGGAGCTCAAACGACAGTTCACCACAAGGCTTCTTCGTCAATTTACGTTCCTTCTACCGGTTACGACAGTGCACGTGTTACCTGTATTTTGGCGCTTCGTCTAGATGGCAAGATAGTATCGCCATTTTTAATCACTAAAGGTAAAAAAGACCAGATTCAACGTGTTTCAGGAATTTATGTCATTGAGCCTGGTGCACCCAAGCAGTAGTAAGAAAGTGGGTTGATTTTATGCTGCCACCACTGTTGAGGGGTCAGAATAGAGGTTTACTACTTTGGGATTCAATCAGTAGTACTCACTCAAGATATGAAAAACTTTCTTATTGAGAGGAAGATTGATCAAATAATGATTTCGGCAGGAATGACTGGTTTCCTCCAGACACTTGACATTGCAATAAACAAGCCATTCAAGGATCATTTGCGGATGGAAATCAATATATTGAAAACAGAATGGTGAGAAATCATCGAGGTAATTTTGTAAAACCAGGCTTACAAGAAGGTGTGAATTGGGTAAAAAATTCATGAGACAAAATAACTGATAATGATGTTTCCAATGCACTACGAACAGGCTACTTACGATTAGACAAGAAGTATTCATTTAACGATAGCTATATCGCAAGACATGAGAGATTCGGACCAATGATTCAACAGGAAATGGATTTGGAAGAAAATCAGAATATAATTCAGAATTTTATTTATGACGATGTTCCAGAAGAAGATGACATGACTGTAATTGAATAAATTTAAANCGTGGAAGACTCCAGGGGTGTAATTCTGTAAACAGAAGATGCTGGATCTCCGTATGGTTCGTAAATGGCGTGCAGACTACGATTACCTGTGTCAACTGGTGGACCAAGGAAATGAGAAGAAACGCAGAGTTGGATCAGGTCGGCAGTTGTTATTTTCTGAGTTGGAAGATTGCATCTGGGAATGGATTGCAGGCAGGAGAGCAATGGCTTTGGTTGTGCGCAGGGCTGATATTAAAAAATTTGCCCTTGAAATAGCAATTGAATTTGATATATCCACAGAAGCATTTAAAGCATCGTCACACTGGTTGGACAACTTCCTTAAACGATATGAACTGTCTCTAAGGAGATCAACAACATTGTTTAAGCTGGAAGACAATGAAGTTGTTAAGCGTGCACTTGCGTTTAAGCTTTTTGTTGATGGCATCGATTTTTCGAAATACCAANATACAATTTTTGTCCCATGTATATAGGACCTGATTGTGTCTTGCATAACCGCGCAAAGTCTGGGTAGAGGTCTTCTCTCCCACGCGTTTCATACGAGTGAATATCACCGTGCATCCTTAAGGAGTTCATGCTCTCCAAGATGTATCCCACGCAGCGAAGGGTGTACAGAGATGGAATGGTGAGTATAGACTCCGCAATAAAAGCATTTCTGCAATCATCACGATAACCTAAACCCGTTACTATTCTTACCGCCCTGCGCTGCAGCCCAAACATGTGAGCAGCTTCAGGGGCTGCTCCCCATGCTAGTATAGAGTAAGACAGTATGGAATGAACAAATGCAAAATAAGCACTTTTTACTACTTTTGGCGTAACAGTTACTGCAAGCCGCCTTAGGAGAAATATATTACGGTTAACTTGTTTGCCCATCTCCACACTATGTTCGTGAAAACGCAACGCAGGAGCGGCGATGAGAGGCCCAAAAACTTGGTTACATCGGGACAAGGAGCGTCAATCTGCCACAATGTGAACGGAAGTGTGACAGTTTTATTTTCATTAAGACAAAGCTCGTTCGCAAGGCACCAGTCCCGCGCCCTCGACAGACCCAACTCAGCCCCACTAGCAGTATCATCCCGATTTCTATATCTTATTAAGACTGTAGCATCATCAGCATATAGGATGCAATCACAGTTATCAAGACCTGCTTTTATGTAATAAGCAAAATCATTGAAGCACAACAGAAATAAGAGAGGGCCCAAGATTGATCCTTGTGGTACCCTTCTCACTATTGGCAAGGAGTCAGATGTAGAGTTATTAACCCTTGTCACCTGCGTCCTCCCGTTTAGATATGAGTGAATGAGACTGATAGAAATATCATCAAAGTGATATACATATTTATTAATTTATGTATTAGAATAGTATGCGATACACAGTCAAAGGCACGAGACAGGTCCAAGAACAAAGAAATACAATACTCGCCATTCTCGAAAGTATCCATGCAAATATTCGTTAACTTTATTATTGCATCCTCCGCACATTTACCCCCCTGAAATCCAAATTGATTATCATACAATATATTATATTTTTTTACGTGAGACATTATTCGATTATAGATCGCTCGCTCATACACTTTGGAGAACACGGGAAGGATGCTAATCGGTCTATAATTAGTGACCTCGCTCTTGCTACCACTTTTAAACACCGGCACAACAGAGGCTTTCTTCAGGCTGTCAGGGAATATTCCCTTCTTAAATGCAGTATTAATTAATTTACATAAAGGAAGAACATATAGCTTATGTTATTTTCTATGAAGTTAACTGACAGGCCGAAGATATCTCTAGATGGACTATTTTTTAGGCCGCGAAAAATTTCGCGAACCTCATTGTGTGTTACTGCCTGCAAGCTAAACATATTAAAATTACTCAGAATAGTGCAAACATTTCGTTCCCCAGTTAAGTTTCGAACAATAGTTACAGGCATGTAACTATTACTCACCGCGCTAAAGATATGAAAACTTTCTTGCTGAGAGGAAGATTGATCAAATAATGATTCCGGCAGGAATGACTGGTTACCTCCAGACACTTGACATTGCAATAAACAAGCCATTCAAGGATCATTTGCGGATAGAAATCAATGAATATATTGAAAACAGAATGGTGGGAAATCATCGAGGTAATTTTGTAAAACCAGGCTTACAACAAGTTGTGAATTGGGTAAAAAATTCATGGGACAAAATAACTGATAATGATGTTTCCAATGCACTACGAACAGGCTACTTAGAAGTATTCATTCAACAGGAAATGGATTTGGAAGAAAATCAGAATATAATTCAGAATTTTATTTATGACGATGTTCCAGAAGAAGATGACATGACTGTAATTGAATAAATTTAAATTTCTGTATTCTGTGTAAAATAAATATTAAATAAAAATATATAAATATACTTTTATTTTTGCCCTCCCCCGAAAATAAGCCCTAGCGCGTATTTTGGACCAAAAAAGAAAGTAAGACAGTGTCTTATTTTCGGAAAAAGACGGTAGAAACTATAACATAAACTTTTTAAACATAAAATAACACAAATATTAATTAGAAATGTCTGTGTAAGCTCTTTTGTATCAAATGCGTATGTTGACTTTTGTGAGGTTTATCTGTCAGTATTCCATTTCTTGCTCTATCTATGGAGCACTTGATTTAATTTTATTTTATGTGGTATGCTCGTCAATAAACACAAGAACTTTTAGATGTAATACAAAGATGAATTTAATGGTATTTATTACGGTATCGCTATTTTAGGTGGTGTATGTAGACTTTTGTGACTAACTGTATAATCACTCTTTCATTACTTGAAGCTTTCTTCTCGTTTATGATTGTTTTTTAGAGCTTGAATCAATTAAAATTTGGCTTGGGTGCCAAATTTGTGACTTAATTTCGTGTTTTTCTGAAAATAACGATCTTATCTTGAATGAAAAGCGTTGGTGCTTTATTAATAGAACCTTTTATTCCAATTCAAAGAAAATTAATTACATTTAGTAAATTATATCATGTAGACGTTCCAATTAATTGCAAAAATTAAAATAAAATAAGTTTGTAAGAGAGATATCAGTATTTTGTATCTAAATATTTAAAAGCGAAAGAATTCGTTTTCATGCATTCAACAAAACATAACTTTGATAAGCTTTCGATATCGCTCTTTCCTTTGTGTGTTGGTGCAAGTATTGATTTGGCATTTAAGAATGAACTTAACGAATTGTGTTTTAACCCAAAAAGGAAAAATTCTTTTCTCATTCTTGATTATATTTTCTCCACTACATCTAAATTCAAATTATATTAGTTTTTTTTTATTTATTTAAATTAAATTCTTTTTGTTAAAAATAATTTTAATTAAATTTATTTCGATTTAATTAAAATTAATGAATTGAAAATGACCTATTCACCGTATAAACGGGGAAATTGAGAATAAAGAAGCGTACATTCTTTGTGTGACATCGTCCGGCGTTCGCACGTGCGATTGTACGTGGAAATACGGATCAATAGCTGGCCAGCTAGCCTAGAAATGGTTGGTGTTGGTGCTGCAGCACCTCACTTCTCGGAAACAAAACTTAAATCGGCCAAAACGATTATATTAGCTCTCATGAATGATGTGCTTTTGTAAAGGAAACTTTTTGTATTGATTTTTATTTCTTTTTTTTTTAGATGTCTTAATATGGGTCAAAATTGGGTTCTAGTTGGATTTGGGACTGCACTTCTATTTATAATTACCTTCCATAATACCGTTGATTCCAGTTCGGAAATGTAATTTAAATCGTTTTTGTTGATTAAAAAAAAATTTATAGTTTTTTTTTTGTAGATTTGGGGAAGGAAAATCTGATAAAGAAATTTTGGATGATTTACTACAAGTTACACGTTACGACAAAAGACTTCTACCTCCAGTAACAGGTAACCAATTCAATCTAACAACATTTTTTTTAGTTAAGGAACTAACCCGATTTTCTTATAGACCCCGATTAATCGAAAATAATTATTTTAAAAATACTTTTCCACATTTTCATTTATTTTCAGACACTTCGAGAATTTGTGAAAATACAGGGGAAACCTGGGTTTTTTCGATAGATGATCCAAACGCAGATGGATGTAGTTAGTTTCCCAAAAAAAATCTTAAAAAAAAGAGCACAGAGAAGTAGTAACCTTTTTATGTTACTAAAAATATTAATTATTCATTCTTTGATCTCCTTAAACTAACAATTACTTAGAAATAACATCTCGTAAACAACTTAGAACCATCATTTTCGATTAAATCCTGGGAAATGTTTATTTATTCCGATTTATAATTGAATTTGCTTATTTTCTTGTTTAAATAAAATGATAAACAATATTTTTAAACTAAGAGGAGTGAATTAAAGCTTAAACTTTCCTCTTTAAGAAAACATAGAACTCGTTGCGCTAATTTAAAGGGGATTTTATCAAAAAAAATTAAAGAATCCTGTAAATTAAAGTTAAAATCCGAATGAACTAAAATAATATTATAAAATGATATATTATATATTTAGTTCAAAAAAATAATTTTACTCAATTTAAATTAAAGTATTTCACGTAAATACCTTTAAAAAACATTAAAATATTTTTTTATCGTTAAATAAACGACCTTGTAGTCTTTTGGCAATGGTATTCTCCGGGTTCATCGTAGTAGTCTTACAATGTTTAAATCAATGCTATACATATTTCGAGCTATAAGCTCTTCATCAGGCACGACTATAAGAGATAAATATGTTAATTAAGTTATATAAGAGATTAATTAATATTTGCCGTCAATTAAAGAATAAAACGAAAGTTAACATATGCACATCACAACGATACAGCATTTCAAGCGGATAATGTATAAAATCCTCTACTCAAAAGCGAGTTGCAAAAGATAAAAGGAAAAACGAAAATATTCACAAATTATTTTATGAAGACGACACGTGCGTGGGATTAAAACAGGATTGAGGTAACAAGAAGATGAGGGAATAATTAAGAGGACAAAAACACAGAACAACATCGATTCATCACACAAGAAACTACACCAACTTCTTTCAGAATCAAAGACTGGTCGATCGCAAAGCAGTTTTGAGTCCACCGCCAAGAAAATCATGAATCTGAAATATCTATATCTGGGCCTCAGAGCAAAAAAAAGGAAGGTTACATCTTGGCAAGACATTTATATAAAAAGTCGATTTTGATCAAAAATTAGTGGACACCACTGCTCTAAAACGATTAATCATCAAAATTGTTGATTTTCGAAAATTAACTCAATCATAACTCAAAAACTAAAACCGATGAAGAAAAACTTTTTATACATAAAACCTTAGTAATGGGCCATAAAGAGTAGATCCATAACAAGATTGATCCCAATTATTACCATTTTTTATTTATAAGCTCTAAATCGATTAAACATCAAAATTGTTGATTTTCGAAAATTAACTCAATCATAACTCAAAAACTAAAAGCGATGGAGAAAAACTTTTTATACATAAAACCTTAGTAATGGGCCATAAAGACTAAATCCATAATAAGATTGAACCCAATTATTACCATTTTTTATTTATAAGCTCTAAATCGATTAAACATCAAAATTGTTGATTTTCGAAAATTAACTCAATCATAACTCAAAAACTAAAAGCGATGGAGAAAAACTTTTTATACATAAAACCTTAGTAATGGGCCATAAAGACTAAATCCATAACAAGATTGAACCCAATTATTACCATTTTTTATTTATAAGCTCTAAATCGATTAAACATCAAAATTGTTGATTTTCGAAAATTAACTCAATCATAACTCAAAAACTAAAAGCGATGGAGAAAAACTTTTTATACATAAAACCTTAGTAATGGGCCATAAAGACTAAATCCATAACAAGATTGAACCCAATTATTACCATTTTTTATTTATAAGCTCTAAATCGATTAAACATCAAAATTGTTGATTTTCGAAAATTAACTCAATCATAACTCAAAAACTAAAAGCGATGGAGAAAAACTTTTTATACATAAAACCTTAGTAATGGGCCATAAAGACTAAATCCATAACAAGATTGAACCCAATTATTACCATTTTTTATTTATAAGCTCTAAATCGATTAAACATCAAAATTGTTGATTTTCGAAAATTAACTCAATCATAACTCAAAAACTAAAAGCGATGGAGAAAAACTTTTTATACATAAAACCTTAGTAATGGGCCATAAAGACTAAATCCATAACAAGATTGAACCCAATTATTACCATTTTTTATTTATAAGCTCTAAATCGATTAAACATCAAAATTGTTGATTTTCGAAAATTAACTCAATCATAACTCATAAAATAAAAGCGATGGGGAACTATTTTTTATACATAAAACCTTAGTAATGGACCATAAAGACTAGATCCATAAAAAGATTGAACTCAATTATTACTATTTTTTATTTATAAGCTCTAAATCAGTGGTGGCCATAACGTCGATCGCCAAGAAAATGATGAATCTGAAATATCTATATCTGGGCCTCAGAGCAAAAAAAAAAAGAAGGTTACTTTAAACTCTTCGGTCGATCTTGGCAAGACATTTATATAAAAAGTCGATCTTGATCAAAAATTAGTGGACACCACTGCTCTATAAGAAATTAAGCTTCCACAATTCCATTCTGAAGTATTTACACCGATCGTTACAAACACAGCTACATTACATAGAGTACGACGAACTCCTTTGCAAATTCTACTGTAGTACCTACTGAGTGGCGCCTTTTTATTGACAGTTGTAAAAGAAGTTTAAAATGCGTGTTACTGCACAATGGAAATAAATTTGCATCAATTCCAATTGCCCATTCAACAAAACTCAAAGAAGAATATGAAAACGTAAAATTAGTTTTAGAAAAAATTAATTACTCGGAGCATCAATGGCCGATCTGTGTGGATTTGAAAATGGTTAATTTTTTACTTGGTCAATAAAGTAGATACACGAAATACCCTTGCTTCATTTATATTTCTTACAGGTCAGTATGTTTGGCCTGTAAGAAATTCTTTAACCGTCTGTAAAGCCAATGTAATAAGGGAGCCGTTGGTGAGCAGAGACAAAATCATACTTCCAGCATTACATATTAAGTTAGAAATGATAAAGCAATTTGTATAAGCGTTGGACAAGGAAGGAGCTTGTTTTAATTACATTTGTAGAACATTTCCGAAGCTTAGTATGGAAAAGTTGAAAGGTGGAATATTTGATGGTCCTCAAATACGGCAATTGAAGGGGTTGGTGCAAAAACCAGCTATGTGCACAAAGTACAGTTTTCAGAAAACCAAGAAAAACGTTTGTTTGGCATAGCCTTCCATAGTAATTATTTTTGTCCCTTTGTTTTATAAGTAACTGTAATAAGAATTACTTACTGTAAAAATATCTTCTTTTTGTTGCTTCTGGCTTTGGTTATATATAAAAAAAGAATGCACATGGCCTCTTATTGCCGCCGATTCTGGTACAGATTGATAAAAAGTAACGATTCTTGCTGCATTTTTATGATTCAGTTGACGGCCTACGAAAGTAGGATGGAAGGCGCAAATGACAATACGTTACACATAAATGAATCATACCAAGACTTAACTGTAAATTTAGAAACTCCAGAAATGGTGCAAAGTAAAACAATAGAAATGGTGCAGATAGAAAAAGATAAGAAAAGAAAACGGGCAAGAAATGAAGGTAGTACGCACAAAATATCAGAAAAATTAAGAAAATTAATGACGAAGAATACACGACAAAAAAATCAAAACTTGTAAGTGCCAAAATTTTTGAAAATAAGGATTGTTTTTGCTCAATAAAATGTTTAGATCGCGAAAATATAATGAAAGAAAATCTAATTCCTTAATTTGTATACTACAGTTCATCAACGATTTATTTTCTGTCAAGAAATAATAAGTCAGAAGTGTCGGGTAGCAGGAATTTTTTTTAGCCACCTATAAAATTTCTGTAGGGCGGTTAACTCCTGCTCTGAATGCTGAAACACCTGGAACTGATCGTTGTGGAAAAATGCCTGGATCTTCGCGAAAAACAGATGAAATTAAGATAAAAGCTGTACGAGAACATATTTTAAGTTTTCCAGCATATGAGAGCCACTACACCAGAGCTCGTCACACTCCTGGTCGAAAATATTAGAGTCCTGATTTAGATATTCGTAAAATGGATAGCCTGTATGTAGAGAAATGTGAGGAAAATATTTAATACTGAATTTAACTCAAATTTCCATGCTCCTCGAAAAGACACATGGCAAAAATGCGATTTACTGAAGGGAAAATCGGAAAAAATTACATCTTAGAGAAAGTCATGATATACATTTACAAAATACCGAACAAGGTAGGAACTGTCTTGCAGAGGACCAGAAAAAACCTAAAGAAAATTCCAGGGAATATTAGGGATTCAAATTTGATTTGCAAAAAGCATTCCGTATCCTAAACTGTCGGTTTCGTTAGTCTATTCTAAAGGAAATATACATATACAACTTGGGTTTCCATAATTTCCATGATGACAGTGTCAAGAGTATACACCCAACTCTTTTTTTACACGGTAGATACGTTCCTTACAAAACCGTGCAAAAGAAAATCGTGTAAAAAAAGTTATAATAAAATGTATATTACATATTTATAAAAGAAAAGCTATTTATTAGTTTAAAAAAAATAGTGTACAGTCAAAACTCCAACATAACAACAAAATAAAAATGTAAACTAAAATTAGAAATAAAAATCAATTTCGCAAGCCTTCATCGCTACTTGATAACAAACGTGCACGTTTATTACGGACTTGACCAAAAGCGTATGTCTAGCACAACTGTCGGATTTAATTCAAATGAAGAATTTCGTTCGTTATTAACGGTCTCTGTTGTTTTTTTTTTGTAGTTGTGAAGTCGGTTATTAGCTGCTGTGTTTTTTGGTTTCTCAATATGCTTATATAATTCTTCATATCCAGCTACACATAACTTAAGACTACGTTTTCAATGCACGCTCCATGTCAGGATCATGAGTAAGAAAATGTTGTTCCATACTTGTAGCAAATTTCAAGCTATCGCGAATTAAATCAGCCGTTAATAGCTGAACTTCATCTTCTACCTTGTCATTATCGATTTCTTTATTTTCACAAAT